GAAGAAGAAGGGTCTAGGCCTGAAATGTCAGCCTTCCTGCTCCTCTGATGCTGCTTGGCCTGCTGTGTTCGTCCAACTCTACACCTTGTTATCTCAGATTCTCCAGCATCTGCAGTTCGTACTATCTCTGTAGAAGTAGACCATTCAGCCCATCAAGTCTGCTCTGCCGTTCGACGATGGATTTGATCATCCTTAACTCTTAATCCCTTCCTGATTAAGAATCTACCTCACCCTTGAACATTCTTCAAAACCCGGCCCCGCTAACCCTCCGGTAAAGAGTCTCATAGATTCACTCCCGTCAGAAGAAATTTGTTCTCATCCATCTTCAGTGGGCGTCCCCTTATTCTGAGATTACACCCTCTGGTCCTAGACCCTCCCACAAGGGAAAATCACCCTCTCCACATTTCCCATCAAGTCCCTTTAAGAATCTTGTCTGTTTCAATAAGGTCACCTCTCATTCTTCTAAATGAGTACAGGCCTCCCTAATCATTCTGTGCTGCAGCTTTCCAATAGTCAAATAACCTGCAATCAGCTGGTGAAATATCTCTCTGGCAGGTTCACTAGCCTCCTTCCCACAAGCACAGACAGACTGCTCAACAATGTAGGGCTTCGTGCCAGTGCAAGTTTCAGCCTTTAACCAGTCTGCCTGCATGCACACCCACGTGTTTCTGTACAGTAATGAAAGTCCAGGAGCTCGGGTTGATCCTAGACACAAAAATGGATCCCCTTGCACCCCACCATCCCCATGCCTGCAATTCAAGCAAACAAGCAGCCTCAACACAGTGGGCAAAGAAGCAATGGAACCTGGCAACAACACCACCACCACCACCTCCCCCCTACCCCCAGCCCTCTATCACATTCAAGTCATGGTCTCAGTGCACTGCTTGCCATCAGGATTTGTCTCCTCCATCCCAGAGAGAGGCCTCACATGATCAAACAGCCCATGGGCTAATTCTTATGCTCCAGGTTGGTTTGGTATAGCCAAGAAAAGTGCGTCTCCTGTGTGTGTATGTGCGCGTGTGTATACGCATGTATGCCCGGGAGAGTGTGCCTGTATGTGTGCATGTGTTGCCTGTGCCTGTGTGTAGGGTGTGCTGTATGTAAATATGCCAGCCTTCAGCCAAGAGATGACTCATCCCTGACACTATCACAGAATTAGTACCATGCAGAGTTAGGCAATTCAGCCCATTATACCCGCTGAGCTTTTCCAGCAATTTCTGTTTTTGTGTTTGTATCTTAGTTCAATCCCCCTAGTCCTCCATCTCCTACCTGATCCCCATCTCCCTGCACAAAATTTCTATCCAAATGCCCCCCATCCAACGCCTCCCCCACATTTCCAGGCAGTGCATTCCACACCATAACCACTCACTGGGTGAGAAAGATTCTCTTCACATCGCCCTTACTTCGTTTGCCTGTCCCCTCGTTCTTGCTCCTTCTATGAATGGAAACAGCTTCTCCTTCTCTACTCTGTCCAGCCCGCTCCTGATTTTGAAACGCCTCTCTCATATCTCCCTCTCAGCCTCCTTCTCTGAGAAGCAGAGCCCCAACTTCCCCAAATCTATCCTCTCGTCACTAGAGTTCCTTGCCCAGGAACCGTTCTTGTAAATAGTTTTCTGCACTCTCTCCCATGCGTTCACAGCTTTCCTGTAATGTGGGACCCAAGATTGTAGACTATGCCGAACGAATAGCTGGTTCCAGGTTTTGTTACTTACCCACTGTGAAATCCATGTTTCGCAAAAAAGTATGCATTTCCCGGAGGCTGTCTGTCAAGCCCATGTCCCCAAAAGTGAAGTACGTCACATCCCTGCGTGCCTGGGCAGCAGCCATGATCTGAATGAGAGCTGAGAAAAACCAAATGGAGACCATAAGGCACGGGAGCAGGATTTGGCCATTCAGCCCATTAATGTGACAGCCATTCAGTGAAATCATGAATCATCCTCAGAGTCTACTTTCCTGCCTGCCTTTCCCTCATAACCCTCAATTTCCCTTCCTGATTAAAACCTCAGCCTTGAATAGATTTCACGACCAGGCCTCGAGAGCCCCCTGCGGTTAAGTATTCCACAGATTCACTCCCCTTGGAGAGAAGAAATTCCTCCTCATCTGTCTTCAATAGACAACCCCTTACTATGAGATTACATCCTCTGGTTCTTGACTCTCCCATAAGGGGAGAAACAACCTCTGCACATCTCCCCTGTCAAGTCATAGAGTGATACAGCACAGAAACAAACCCTTCGGTCCAACTCATCCATGCTGGCCAGATAACCTAAGTTAATCTGGCCCCATTTATCAGCATTTTGCCCATATCCCCCTAAACACTTCCTATTCACGGACACATCCAGATGCCTTTTAAATGTAATTGTACCCGCCTCCACCATTTCCACTGGCAGGTCATTCCACACATGCACCACCCTTTGCCTCCTCTAAGAATCCTAGATGTTTCAATCAGGTCACCTCTTATTTTTTCGAAGTGAATACAGCCCCAATCTACTCATAAGACAGTCCCTTTGTACCGGGGCTCAGCCAAGTGGACCATCTCTGGGCTGCCTCCGATGACCAATCTATCTTTCCTTAGATATGGGGCCCCAAAACTCTTCACGGTATTCCAGCTGTGGTCTGACAAGTGCCTTGTACAGTTTTAGCAAAACCTCCCCAACCTTTATACTCCATTCCCTCTGAAATAAAAGCCAACGTTCCATTGGCCGTCCCTATTCCCCACTGAACTTGAATGCTGGCTTTTTGTGATTCATGCACTAACTTTGAAGAGGACAGTCACCCTAATTTCAGTAACCAGAGGAGGGCACTTTCATCTTTGTGCTGGTACACATTTTCTCTTCAGAATGCAAGCTATGGTCAAACTGTACCCAGTCAAGCATGAACAAGCCAATAAAAATGCTCTTTATTCCCTGCCGCCAAGGATGGGCAGCTTTCCCTATTTTTTTGGGAGTCTGGAGTATTTTCCTCGTGAGGTTGGGGTAGGCAGACTGGGGAGAAATTTGCCACTGAAGTTTGGGGAAGGCAGACTCCTGGCTTCCAGTGCCACCAGGTGGCAGCATCGAGCTTGACATAGCCCAAGCGACTCAGTGGCCCCACCAGCAGTTGCTGGCCAGTACTGCGGCCTCGGATCTTCTCCCCCAATGTGCGGTGGAAGATCTAAACATGCCTTTATATGGCGCCTTTTGTGGCCTCGTAGTGTGCCATGGTGCTTTGCAGAAAATGGAGCACAAGCGCTGTCAAAGCATGGCAGCTAATTTGAACACAGCAAACTCCCATTAACAAAGAATAATAGTTTTTTTTAAATGACACTAATTGAGGGGTAAATATTAGTCAGCGAACCTCCTGTCCAACTGAGGGGGCAGGTGGGGCTTTGAGGTGACATTTTAACCATGTTCTGTAAAGCAGATGCAGTTTAATGGGGTCCGATGTGAGGTTATCCCCTCTGGCAGCAGAAACCGAAAGCCGGATTATTTTCCGAATGGCAATCGATTGGGTAAAAGGGGGTGGGAGGAGGAGATGCAACAAGACCTGGGTGTCCCTCCTACACCACTCGCTAAAAGTCAGCCTTGCAGGAGCAGCGGGCGGTGAGGAAGGCCAATGGGATGTTGGCCCCTTCATGGCAACAGGATTGGAGTACAGGAGCAGGGATGTCTGGCTGCAATTGGACAGGGAGAGACCACACCCTGGAGCATTGTGTACGTGAGGTTCGGGTCTCCTTATCTGAGAAAAGATGTTCTGGCAATGGAGGGAGTGCAGCGAAGGTTTCCCAGACTGATTCCTGGGATAGCACAGACTGACAGATGAAAAGAGATCAGATCGGGTTAGGATTATATTCACAGGAGTTTAGAAGAATGGGGGCAAGATGGCAGTTTCACAATCTAAAGATCCGAGTTAGAATTGAGATGAGGAGAAATGTCCTCACCCAGACAGTTGGGGAGTCTGTGGAATTCTCTGCCGCAGAAAGCAGTCGGGGCAAAACACTGAATGTTTTCAAGAAGGAGTTGGATTAAATTTTACGACTAAAGGGATCAAAGGATTTCGGGGATCATAGAGTGGTACAGCTGTAAAGCACAGAAACAAACCTTTTGGTCGAACTTGTCCATGCCGACCAGATATCCTAAATTAATTTAGTCCCATTTGCCAGCATTTGGCCCGTATCCCTCTAAACCCTTTCTATTCACGTACCCGTCCAGATGCCTTTTAAATGTTGTAATTGTACCAGCCTCCACCACTTCCTCTGGCAGCTCGTTCCATACATGCACCATCCTCTGCATGAAAAAGGTGCTCTTCAGGTCCCTTTTATATGTTTCCCCTCTCACCTTAAACCTATGCCCCTAGTTTTGGACTCCCCTACCCGGGGAAAAGACCTTGGCTATTCACCCTATCCATGTCCCTCATGATTTTATGAACTTCTATAAGATCACCTCAGCCTCTGGCGCTCCAGGGAAAATAGCCCCAGCCTATTTGGCCTCTCCCAATAGCTCATACCCTCCAACCCTGGCAAAATCCTTGTAAATCTTTTCTGCACCCTTTCAAGTTTCACAACATCCTTTCTATAGCAGGGAGACCAGAAGTGAATGCAGTATTGCAAAAGTGGCCTAACCAATGTCCTGTACAGCTGCAACATGACCTCCCAACTCCAAACTCAATGCACTGACCAATAAAGGGAAGCGTACCAAATGCCTTCTTTACTACCCTGTCTACCTGCAACTCCACTTTCAAGAAACTATGAACCTGCACCTCAAGGACTTTTTGTTCAGCAACACGCCTCAGGTGTATAAGTCCCGCCCTGGTTTGCCTTTCCAAAATGCAGCACATCACATTTATCTAAATTATATTGAACGATGGAGCCGACCCAAAGGACAGAGTGGCCTATTTTCTGTCTTTCTGATGCTGATACCTCCAGCTCCCTCAGTAGTGAGCCTCCGACAGAATGGTGATCCCTCAACGCTGACCCTCCAACAAGGCAGTTCTCTCTCAGCACTGCTGAGAGGTGCCAGCGTAGATTATTTTGACCACGAGTGCTGGTGTGGAACTTGAACCCACCATCTTCTGACTCTGGAGAAGACAGCACTCCTCAGTGAGCCACGTTTAGTCCGAGCTGATGATTAGTTGCTTCGTTACGAAGGGTAGTTGAGTAAATTGACCCACCTTTAAGCTTTGCGTCGCCTCTGAAAGCTCCACAGCCCCAGTTGCCTGTGGCGATGGGAGTATCCGTCCAGGATGGTACCACTCGATGTGCATTGGAAAATCCGCAGTAGGCCTTATGGAGAAAATCAGTGTTACAGTTAATGCGGGCACTGAACTGGATTCAAGGCTGAGGCATCTGACTACAACAGAATACCACAGACCCCTTTAATAATTCCACTTTTCCTATTGAGACCTTTAAATCTTTTAAATAATAATTTCTTCTCCCATTCCAGAGAATCACAGAATCATTACAAAGCAGAATGAGGCCATTTGGCCCCAACATACTATCTCCTCGTGCCCAATCTCCTGCCTTTGACTTGCACACTATGTCTATCCACAAACCCCTCCGATGCCTCAACTGAACCTGCCTCCCCCATGTTTCCAGGCAGTACATTCCAAACCCTAACCACTCGCTGGGCAAAAAATAAATTTCTCAAATCTTCTGTACTTTGTTTTAAATCTATTTCCCCTCTCGTTCTTATCCCTTCTACAAACAGGAACAGCTTCTCCCTCTCTCTGTCCAGCCCCTGCAACTGATTTTGAAAAATCTCTATCAGATCCCGCTCTTCTCTCCGAGGAGAACAGTCCCAACCTCTTCAATCTATCCTCATCGCTGACGTTTCTCATCCTGGGAACCGTTCTCGTAAATCGCTCCTGCACCCTCTCTCCAATGCATTCACATCCTTCCTGTAACGTGGCATCCACAACTATGTGCAATACTCTAGCTGGGGTCTAACAGGTGTCTTGTACCAGGTCAACATCACCTCCCCTGCTCTTGCACTCTATGCCTGTATTAATAATGCTGAAAACGCTGGCTATTTTCTTTACTGTTCTCTCCACTTGTCCCGCCCCCTTCAGAGATCTGTGTGCCTACACCCTGAGCTCCCTCTGCTCCCTTTAGAATTGTATGCCCTATTTTGTACTATCCTTCCATGCTCTTCTGACCAAAATGCATCACCTCACACCTCTCACAACATTGAACCTCATCTGTCCCCTCTCTGCCCACTCCGCTAACTGGTCACTGTCCTTTCGGGAGTTCCGCACTGCCCTCCACACAGTTTACAATTCTTCCAAAGTCATCTGCAAACATGGAAATCTCCCCCTGTACAACAGGATGCAGATCAAAGCAAGGGTCCCAAATTAGCGACCCCTGGAGACCTCCCCTGCAGACCATCCTCCAACCCAAAAATAAAAAATCCATTGCTCTCTTTCCTATCCCTCAACCAATTTTGTGTCCAGTTTTATATCTTCACAAATGATGCATTTCCATTAGCTTAGCAAAGTATCTTGAGCTTACGTGGATGGATTGGAGACTCTAGACCGTGTTCTCCTCAGAAGAGGGTGGAGAGCTGAGTGATCAAGGGTTTCAAAACCTTCCGGCCTCTGGACCAAGTAAAGAGGGAGAAACAGTTCCCAGCGAGGCAAGGTTCGAGAACATAAGGGACACAGATTTAAGGAGTTTGGCAAGAGAAGTGGTCTTTTCCTGCAGCAAGTGTGTTACAGTCTGGATTCCACAGCGCGTGCTTTACGGTCTGGAGCGTACTGCCTCAGAGTGAGGGAGATAGATTCAACAGAGGTTTCCAACAGGGAATGGGATCATTACTCAGAGTCATACAGCTTGGAAACAGATCCTTCAATCCAACCAGTCCATTATCCCAAACTAAACTAGTCCCACTTGCCTGCTCCTGGCCTATATCCCTCCAAACCTTTCCTATTCATGTACTAATCCAAATGTCTTTTAAACATTGTAACTGTACCCACATCCACCACTTCCTCTGGAAGTTCATTCCACACATGAACCACTCTCTGTGTAAAAAGGTTGCCCCTCATATCCTTTTAAAAACCTTTCTTTTTTCACCTTAAAATACGCCCCCTAGTTTTGAACTCCCCCATCCTGGGGAAAAGCCACTCGTCATTCACTTTATTGGTGCCCCTCATGATTTTATAAACCGCTATAAGGTCACTCCTCAACCTCCTATGTTCCAGTGAAAATGTCCCAGCCTCTCCTTATGACTCCAAACCTCCATTCCTGGCAACATCCTGGTAAATCTTTTCTGAACCCTGTTTAGCTTAAGAATATCCTTCCTACAGCAGCGTGACCAGAATTGGACACAGTACTCCAGAAGAGGCCTCATCAAAGTCCTGTACAACCTCAACATGACGTCCCAACTCCTATACTCAAAGGCTTGTGGAGGTACCTCACTGAGAGTGAAAACCAGGCAGCATATTGGACAACACCACCACCTTCTCGGGCTGTCAGGAATGGGCAGAAAATATTGGCACATATTTTCCTCCATAAAGAACAATCGTGCAGGGGTCCTACTCCTGCAGGGAGCTGGTGCACACTGAACGGGCTGAATGGTCTTTTTCCGTGCTCATTCTGCGAGCACAATGTGCCCCGTCAAGCTCATTCCAACAACTACAGAATGGCCTCTTCCCTCTAAGGAATGCTGATGAGTGCATTCCCCTCTTGTCTGAATTAAACCTCTCAAATTTTGACCTTAAAAATCACTCCTTGCTCGATCAACCACAGACTTTGCACACTTTTAAAAAGTTTGATTGTGGGACGTGCCAGTATTTTCTGCTCGCCCATGGATGAGCCCGAGAGGGTGCTGGTCTTGTCCGATATTCTGCCTGGTTTTCACTCCCAGTACGTTATCCCCACACCTCCTCCCACTGTCAGAGACTAAATCCAGGTACAATCCTCCTGGTACAATCAGCGTAGCGCCAGTCTGCCACCTTACCCTCCGGTGGGCGAGCTGGTCAGTGGCAGGGAGGTTTGGCTGGGAACTGTATAAAACGTCGGTTAGGCCAGCGAGAGTATTGTGTGCAAGTTCTGGAATCCCCATTATAGGAGGGATATAATAGCACTGGGAGAGGGGGCAGAGAGAGATTTACCAGGGCGTTGCCTTGTGGGGGCTGGACAGTTTCAGTTCTTGAAGAGAAATTGGGACAGACTGGGGGCTGTTTTCCTTAGAGCAGAGGAGATTAAGAGAGGGGACATGATTGAGATTTAGGGTAGACAGGACAGAACCTTTCCCCTTGTTGGAGGGATCAATGCCTGTGTGTGCGTGTGCATCTGTGTGTGTGTGGAGCATAGATATATGGGAAGCGCAGTAGGCTTACAGGGGGACGTGAGGAAAAACGTTTTCACCCAGACGCTGGTGGGGAATCTAGAACTCACTGCCCGTAAGGATGGGAGAGGCAGAAATCCTCATCCCATTGAAGAAGGATTTAGATGGGCATTCACTATGCCAAGGCTGTGGGCCAAGTGCTGGGAAACGGGGATTGGATAGCGAGGTGGTTTGTTTCTGACCGGTACAGACCTGATGGGTGTAGACCTCCATAACTGTAGGACTTTGAAAGAGGTCAAAGCTGGGCAGAGCGGAGGGCTTTTACCTTGTGCAGCTCCCTGTCCAAATTGTGAAGTTTGTACTGCTCCGTGGGATCTCTAAAGTGAATGGCATCGATGGCCACTATTTCTGTTTGACGTCTCAGAAACAAATCTCTGCAAAAACAAACATAAAAAAAGGGCACAGGGGATGAATATGTCTGTTCGCAATTAAGGTGGCCACACACACACATACACACAGACGTACTCGCGCACGCACACAGCCACGCCCATTTGCTATTCAGCAAATTTATCTTCTGGTCGTGCAGTATTAAAAGTTAGACTTCGATGATGCCTTCATTATGTCGTGAATTTTGCTAGAAAGAGACACTGTTGGTGACCATTCTCCTCTGGCAATTATCAGGATTAAACGCAAGAGTGCCAAATTTCAAGCAATCACAACAAAATCTACGGCAGGAAAACGGGCTGCCAGTTGGTCAGCAAGTTGACTCTTATTGGCCGAGGCGTTGCCACAGAGGAAGCAGAAAGAGCTGGAGGTTTTCCCCAAGTTTGTGGGTCCTGTTTGCAAGGCATGTCGCTTTTGAACCATCCAGGAACACAGGAAGCCCTCAAGATTTAATTTTCTTTCTGCTGTCACTGACCTACTCTCTCCTCATTGTTAAAACCTCCATTGTCGACTAGCTCCATTTCTGGAAGTCTCAACAGCGTGGCCACCTAAGCAAACTTTTCTCCCGCCAGGAGGTTAAGATAATCGGGAGCTCAGAAGACTCACTACGTTGTACCCCCATTCCCAATTCTCTCTCGTCTGAGACAAATTGAAGCCAAAGAAAGGCAATTCTCAAACATCAGATAAAGAGAACAGTTATAGCACAGGAAAAGGTCATTCACCCATCATCGCTGCACTGACACACTGCCACAGCAACTCAGCTAGTCATAGAGTCACAGTCATACAGAAACAGACCCTTCGGTCCAACTCATCCAGATATCCTAACTAAATCTAGTCCCATTTGCCAGCATTTGGCCCATATCCCTCCAAACTCTTCCTAATCATATACCCATCCAGATGCCTTTTAAAATGTTGTCATTGTACCACCTCCACCACTTCCTCCGGCAGCTCATTCCATACACGCACCACCCTCTGTGTGAAAATGTTGCCCCTCAGGTCCCTGTTAAATCTTTCCCCTCTCACCTTAAACCTATGCCCTCTAGTTTTGGACTCCCGTACCCTGGGGAAAAGACCTTGCCTATTCACTCTATCCATGCCCCTCATCATTTTATAAACTCCTACAAGGTTTTTTCTGGTGGGGGAGGTGGGGAGGGGGAGTTGCCCTGGTTGCTCCGGGGAAAATAGCCCCAACCTATTCAGCTTCTCCCTATAGCTCAAAATCTCTAACCCTAGCAACATCCTTGTAAATCTTCTCTGAACCCTTTCAAGTTTCACAACATCCTTCCCTATAACTGGGAGGCCAGAATTGAACACGGTATTCCAAAAGTGGCCTCACCAATGTCCTGTACAGCCACAACATGACCTCCCAACTCCTATACTCAATACACTGACCAATAAAGGCAAGCATACCAAATGCATCCTTCACCACGCTGTCTACATGCGACTCCAGTTTCAAGGAGTCCAAGGTCTAACACTGTTTCTCTGACGGTACTGAACTGCCACCTTCAGTGCACGTGCATACAATGGGGTCCTTTTTAGAGTTTATTTTAGATTGCTCCTCTCTGTGTCAGACTGAATCTTGACAGTTCTCCGCACTAAACAGCATCTGCCACTTGCCTGCCCACAGCAGCGCATGTCCTTTCCCGCCCCAGGAATCCAACTGTGTCCTCTGGTGGACAGCGAAGCCTCCAACATCACACTCTCGGGTGGGGGAAGGCAGCTTGGTAGCGCACAACAAGACCTTGCAAGCGAATGTCCACTTTGCCCATTTTTCGGGGCTGGGTGGAAGGGTGTGTGGAGGGTCAGGGTGCCTGCCTTGGCAGGGGGGAACCACGCTCACCTTGGGGTTTCGTCGTTGTGGGCTCCCACCCATTTAAATGAGTCGCTGTAGCCGTTGTATTTGCTGTAGAGTTGCGAGCCTGCAAATCAGAGACAGGCTGGGGTCAGCGAGTGTTTCCCCACCCTGCAGTGTGCCCTCTTGTCTTCGCCCTCATCAACCTGCACAAAGGTGACCCCCATCCCAGTCCCCACCTCTGTAAGCTCGCTCACCACTCCTCCAGACACCATACCCAACCCAACCACATCTTCACAGTTTCCCATTCCCCACCTCCAAGCTATTTGACTGCAGAGGCATCTCGAAGTTGAGCACCAGGGGCATTCCCGCACAAAACGAATGAAGGGGGAACCCCAACAGGGTTGGGGGCTAATTTTGGACGAGGGGACACAATCTCACAAGGAGAAGAGGTATTTCCACCCATTTCCCAGCCTCCCTCCCATCCATTTCCCTACCCCTCCCCTCCTATCACTCAATCACTCCCCCTCCAACACAATTCCCACCTCCCCCACATCTCCCCACCTTCACCTCCTCCCCTCAAAATCCCAAAACCCCTCCCTCCACCCATTCCCCACCCCCAGCGGATTCCTCACCAGTAACAACCAGACACTCCCTTTTATCCAGCCTCTCGGTGAAGAGCCGGGCTGCGATCAGTTCCGGGCTGATGAGGAACCGGATCTCTTCCTGGACCAGTCCAGAGCTCAGTACCCCTCCTCCCACCAACGGGGACGCGAAATCCACCTACAACGGACCATGGAGGGGGGTGGGAGAGAGAAAAACAGATCAGTGATGGGGAGCAGCACTCCGGGCCCCACACAAGCCGCCATGGTGTCGTCATCGTGCTCCCTTTCACGTCTCGTGGGAGGGAGGAAAAAAAAGGCAGCGGTACAGAAATGCAGTTCGTCTCCGCTAAGCTCCGGGTTGGGGCAAAAGATTTTCCACCAGGAAGGGGTTAGATAGGGCTCACTTTGGAGGGAGAAGGGGGAGGGGATGAAGGGAAAGGGGAGGGGGGGGGGGGGGGGGGGAGGGGGGGGGGATGGGGGGGTGGGGGGGGGGGGGGGGGGGGGTTGGGGGGGGGGGGGGGGGG